AGATGCCCCTAATTACAACCTCAGCCCTGTGGCCCCAAACATTAAACCCCATGTGAAGAGTCCTGGGGTCTGTTAGTACTAATCTGTCCTGGTGTCTGAGTCCTGCAACTTGAGTCCAGAATACACTTTATTGAAAGACAGATTAGTCTTAACAGTGTACTTGTACATTTGCTGCACCTTTGGGTGGTGACCTTGAGCTTTCCATGTGGACACCCACTAAAGAGTTTCTATTGAAATATTATAAATGTGTAAATAAGTATGTCGTATAACAGTGGGTTTTGTTTAAAGCCGAGTTAGTTCCACCTCCCAGGACACTCCTGGAAAAGAAAAGACAGCAATGGGTGTAGGGAGCCACTGTTCCACTTGCTAAATCGAGCTGAGAGACACCAACCAGGAGCTGTGGCAATATGTCTGACAGCTGTGTGTGAGATACAGCTGCTGTCTGGTCGACCATTCAGGACGTCACGGCCCAGCTCACTAGTGTGGCTCACCTGACACCTTTAAAGCCTGACTGTCCTCTAAATGCTGTTTGTTGGTTTACAAGGTACCAACAATAACTGTGGAACTGATGGAGGAAGATGAGCAGCTTCCTCAGCAGGTACCTCAGTTCTGAAACATGACACAAGTCATCTCTGTAGGAGAAGGACATAATAACAAGGTTAAAATAATTATTACCTCTTATCAACAGGTTGTTCAGATTTAAAGGTTACAAGATGACCCATAGACTGGTCACTCTTCATGGACACACAGCTGGGTTCAGGAGGGTCTGGGCTCTGCTGCTGCTTCCTGATACAAACAAAAAAGAGACAAATGAAAAGTAGATTGAACCTGAAAGCAGCTGAACTGGGAGCAGACTGTGACCAGTTGAAATGCTGGGAGCAGACAGAAAACCAGTAAGAAGCCAGACAAAAAAATAGAAACCAGTAACAAACAGCAGCTTTTTGTCTTGACTAAAGACAAAGAATGCTGTCTCATCTCAGCTGATCAGTCGACCAGTCAGTGGCCAGCTCTCTGTTCATTCAGACAGTCAGTAGTTAATGAGGAGCTCTGAGCTGCTCCTGAGCAGCTGAGTGTCAGATGTGACAGTGAGTGTGAATCCTGATGGTGCAGTGATGTGTGGTGCTGAGCTCTGACATGGAGAAGAGTCCTGGACAGTCAGAGATCATCTGGAGAGACGTCCTGATCTCAGGGACTGATGGTTTTAGAGGGACAGCCTCCCTCCACTCTGTCCTCACACCGACTCATGGCAGAGCTGCAGCAGATCTTCACTGAACCTCTTCTTGATGTGCTCGATGGTTTCCTCATTGGTCTGTGAGCCACTTCCTGTCTGTGTCAGCAAGCCTCGTAGGAGATTCTGATTGGTCTGCAGCGAAAGGCCCAGGAGGAACCGGAGGAATAAGTCCAGGTGTCCATGTGGACTCTGTAAGGCCTAGTAGTCACTGGACACAACACACCGAGTGAAGAGGCCACTTTGGGCTGTGGGACACTGGGACGGCCATTTCTCCCTTTATTCTGGCTCTGACCAGACCCGACTGGTCTCTGATGAGCCCAGACCATCATCAGCAGACTGCTCACTAATGACACAAACCCCTGCAGCTCCATATCAAACAGGTCAACAGGAGCTTCACTTCAACAGCTCCAACAGTAAAATGCTGCTGACACATGAAAGCATCAGGGACAATGAGCTCATCATGTCTGTTATAGTCCAACGCTCACAGGGAGCGTTTTACTGCACTGTGGACTTGGACCCTTGGTGCTGTCACTGCATGGAGCTGATAGGACGCATAGCTGCCAGTGCTTTGTGAGGGTTTTTCTAGTCTATTTCAACTTAGCCCTCATTCTGCTTCTGCATCTGGGTCCTGCTGCCTTAAGTGTTTGACTGTATCGAAGTACTTGTACACTGTGGTCCTGGCACTTTTACTGAAGTAAGCAATGTCCTGTTGGACTCATGTTGTGGCTCTTTGCTTTGTTACAGCTCTTTACACAATAACAACGTCCACAGGCCTCAGAGTGTCCTGTTAGTAGGTTCACCTCCTTCACTGGCGCCCCTCCTCCCCCTCCATGACTAGAACAACACATGGCATAAAACAGCTGCACATGAAGACAAACAGCAGCTTTTCACACACAAACACCTGCAGGTTCAACTTGTCACAGTCCCATGAAACTAAGAGTGAGACCCCAGAGCAGCTGACAGTCATTCACACACTAAAAATGGTCACTTACCAAAGCTTCACGCAGAGAAAAGACCTACTGCCAAGACGAATAGAGTGAAAGTAATAAACACCTGGAAGCAGGAAATAACCAGAGGCAGATGGAGAGAGGGAGAGTTGGAATGTAACCAAACTTTATTGAAAACTCAGCATATTACACAACAAGACACAAATGACAGCAACGTGATCATTCTAACGTCAGTGTAGCATGATCAAATGTCAGCAGAAAATTAGAAGTGCTGAAGTTTCTACAGAATGTGGAAACAGCCAGGAGGTAAATCATCACTACAAACAGAAGCTGGAAGCCCAATGCTGATGGTGGTGCATGTGTCCAGGCCTGCAGCAGATCACAGGCTATAAGGCCCAGCTCAGAAAGAACCAGCAGCACCATTGGCCTACTTGAGCAGCTTTATAAATGTCCGAGTTCCCAGCAGGTTTAAATCCACCACCATCCTCCCAGTCACCTGTCTGAGTGACTCCAAGCCCGCTGCACTCACTGCAGTCATAATGAAGTGCTTTGAAAGACTAGTTCTGACTCATCTCCAGTCTAATATACCTGAGTCCCTGGACCCCCTGTAGTATGTGTGCAATCCTAACCAGATCCCCTGTGGACAGCATCTTTGTAGCCCTGCATACAACCCTCTGCTATCTGGAAAACTAAGCTGCTGATGTAAGAATGCTTTTTCTACAAAGAGCACATCTCTAATCAGCTGCCAGTTTATTAGGAACACCTAACTCAGTCAGTCTGATCCAACATTTCTGTAATAAACCCTCCTTCATGTTCAGGTCCTGCTGAAACAGTTTGAGGGAGGCGTCGGCTCAGCAGCTGTCTAGTTATTCTTTGTTACACTCCATCCATCCATTTTCCTCCGCTTATCCGGGACCGGGTCGCGGGGGCAGCAGTCTAAGCAAAGATGTCCAGACTTCCCTCTCTCCAGACACTTCCTCCAGCTCCTCCGGGGGAATGACGAGGCGTTCCCAGGCCAGCTGAGAGACATAGTTCCTCCATCTTTGTTACACTGAAAGGGAAAATCTCTGCCTTCAACCAGGCCAGTACGATTTATTGATACTGAAACAGTCGGACACTACAGGCTCCACCTCGACCAGCTGTCACACTCAGATGCTGCGTACATGTGAACATATCAGTAGGAATACTGCAGCAGCAGACTTTTCTACCATTCCAACAAGTTTCTTCTCATACTTTCTTTGCTGATAATACTTGTTGTACTATTGATTAAACTCTTGAATGCAGCATTTTACTTGTACTGGAGTATTTTTACAGAGTGGTACTTTGTTAGTGCAGTGAAATGTTTCATCACCCTTCCCAACAGAGACAAACTGAAACTATACTTTTATAAGGACCAGTAAAAGCCAGTAGCAGGCCATAGTACCAAGAGTTCATACTGTGAATAAATAACAGTAACAAAGGTTTGATGAAAATACAGAAACAATCTGATTAAAAACAGCTGATTTATTTAAAGGCAATTAAAAAACAGAGACATATATTCAAGTTTTACTGTTTGCTTTTATTTTGTGTGGCTGATTTTTCTAACCCAAGTTGACACTGATGTGTGTTTGTTCCAACATCACGGATGCTGAAGAAGACTGCTTATGACAGAAACCTGTCGAGAGACAAAAGCACAGATACAGTGTGCTGAGTTTTTTTTGCTGAGTTTTCAGGAAAGACATTCAGTGAGCATCCGCCAATGCTGAGTGTGTTTTAGAGATTTGTGTCAGGAAGCTGGAGAAATCACTGACCTGCAGCTCCGTTGTAGCCGAACAGTGTGTGGTGAGGGAAGCACAGACACTCAGCCTGTTTGGATTACCAACAGTGTGGGGGAGCAAAGCTTGCAGGTGAGGGATCCCACAGAAGCAGCAGAACAAGAGCAATATAAAGACAGTGATCACAGGTGTAATCCATTTGAAAAGCCACCGTCCCCACGCTCCAAAGCTGAGCAAATACTTGAAATGGAAGAGTTTCAGGAAGTACCTGCTCTTAAGCATGCTCAGACACAGGTCTTTTGACACCACCCCAAACATCATGCTGGGAGCTTATGTAACAAATTCAGTCTTAGCAGGACGAATCCCTCTATAGAGATTTGATTTGGAGCACTTAAAAAAACTTATGACAACATGCTATGCAGCAACTTCTGTTTCAATATCAGGCAAGGAGTACAGCAGACAAAGGAGGAGTCCAGGCAAAAGCTGAAACACACAGTCCTAATCCAGGCTGATGCAAAGCTCACAAGCTGAGCAGAAAATCCAAACACCAGGAGAACAGTTAGAACAAGCTAGACACAGGGAAATAAATAGGTACAACTGGCTGGAACACGATGTCTCTGAAGAACAGACGATCTGGTGGAAGACAAGTGGAAACAGATATGTATATTGAAGAGTTTATAAAGAAACCCGAAACAGTTGTGATTGGTTAAATTCAGGACACTGTAATGAGGGAATGAGAGGCAGGGGTGACAGCTGGAGACCGGACAGGGAATGACAGTTCCTGGAAAAGTCTGGAAAATAACAAGAAACAGCTGTCAAGTTTTTATTAGTTTATTTCATTGACAGTATCAGAATCATGATAATATTACTGAGCCTGTCATGCTTTGTGGAGGACCCCACATAACTCAGCCTCAGACACAGTTCAAAGCAAAAGATGAGCAGACTGTCAGCAGCTGGAGTAGCAGCGGCAGCTGTCTGATGCACTGACACACTTGTCATCTCTTTACTATTGACTGCTACTACTCTCGTCTCCCCCACTGTGTCTCTCTCATTCTTTCCTGCCCTGCAGAAACAGAATGTGTAATAACGTATAGAAAAAGTAGCATCTGGCTAATTTCTCCTCAAGGACTTTAAAAATCCATGTGAATAACTCTTATTTTAAATTCAGCTGTGAAAGTAAGCTAGTTAAATCTTTTATGCTAGGTGCAACAGACATGATTTTTCTGTATTAAAGTCCTGTGGTCACCAGTAACATACCGTACAACAGTGCTTGTAAAACAGCGACTGTCAGACACAGAAACAAACTGAACCACATGTTTTGTATCACTGCCACATGGACATTTTGTTAATGCTGCTCCACTCTGTTTTTTGTGCCTGATGTAGAGGAGTGGGCCAAATTCAATACAATACATTTTTAAAAAGCCTCATTAGTGACATTGTCAGCCATGAGCCAAGGCCTCCGAGGTTTGTTAGAGAACATTAGTGAATAAACAGCATCATGAAGACTAAGGAACACACCAGACGGATCAGGGATAAAGTAATCACATAAAATCCTAACAAAATGCATTTAGGTTTGTGGTTGTAACATGACAAAATGTGAACAAGCTCAAGGGGTATGAATACTTTTGCAAGGCACTGTAGTCAATATAATGAAGAAAATTACTCAATCAGTATAATTTTGTAGAATTTAATTTTGATACTTCAAATACATTTTGCAGCTATTATGTTTGTTCTTTTATTTAAATAACATTTTGAATGCAGATTTTTGCTGGTAACTCATTATTTGTACTCTGTGGTGGTTTATTAAGTCAAAGATCTGCCTACTTCTTCCACCACTGGTTGTATGAAGTCCCAGACGGTGGACACGCTTTACTTTCCTCTTTATTACTGAATATATTTCTGCAGGGCGAGAGAGAGGAGGGAGGTGGAGAGAGAGGGAGAAAGAGAGGGGGAAAGAGAGAGAGAGGGGGGAGGACAGCAGCGATAGATTCAGCAGTATCAGACAGTAAGTTCAAGGCCAGCATTGCTATAGGAAGCTACCTCCTTCTGGGTTGCTCGACTTTGCTGGACACACCGCTCGTCTTTCCTTTGAGCCATGACTGAGGCTGAGTTGTACACGCTGTACAAGGGGGTCTATTTGCCCACACATGTGCACTCTCCGCAGAGCCTGAAATACTTCGAGGAGTTTACTTTCCGCCCGGATGATATTGTCATTGTAACGTACCCAAAGTCAGGTGAGTAGATCTTGTGAACTCGGACCAGGGTTACCACGGACGGTTAAAACGGCGGACACGCGCACAAACACAACTGCACTTCAGCCAGCAATGATACAGAAACATCTGACTGAGCTGATCAGGGAACAGAAGATTATAAATCCACTCCTCTTCGACAGTTCTCCGCTCAGGTTGGCTGGTCACGTGGAACAAAAGTCCAGCGAGGTTGTGTGACTCGCAGCAGCAGTGATCGCTGCAGTGTGTTCCAGAAAAACAGAGAGCAGACTAGTTTAGACACGAGTACACATCCCTCGGGTATCTTAGACACGAGTACACATCCCTCGGGTATAGACATCACTACACATTCCTCAAGTTAGTATTTCCATCGCTTCAGTTTGTCTGCTCCTGTTCCTCCATGCACAGACTTATCTGCTTGATTTGCGCAACAAAGACTGTGCAGACAAGCTTTAGTGTGCGTGCGCGCGCGCGCTCACGTGGCCTTGTTTTTCTATACTTGTGCGGCCCGAAATCTATGAATTATCTTCACATGGACTGTAAGTCACTTGTGGGTAAAAATTTCTTCTAATTGAGCAACATGGAAATACTTGAAATCAAGTGTAAATGATGATTTATTAATTTGATCTCATACTATAGTGAGGAGAAGTTTTGGCTGTGAGATCACAGTGTTAAACTCTGAACCAACATCACAGCCTTATTCTGAATTTCATCTTCAACAGCATCACACTAAATGGAATAAGCTCAGCACAGCATCTCTTGTCTTATGTGTGTCAGGACTCAACTAAACTTCTTCACAGCTAAACCTGATCCAGTGACTGAACTGTTTCCATTTATAATGTGTGTAAAAATCCTGTTTGTTGACTGAGTGCATAAACAACATCTTGGTTGTAAACAGCAACAAGTGAAAGTCATGTCTCTGTGACAAAACAGATTTAGTGAAGACAATTGAAAGGGCAGAGAAGTTGCTTGTATTAGTGAATTAGTCATTAGTGTAATGACACATATTAGAAAAGCTTCTTTCTTTTGTTTAGGCACAACTTGGATGCAGGAGATAGTGCCGCAGATCATAAGTGGAGGAGATCCAGCCTCTGTTGAGACTCTTCATAACTGGGACCGTGTTCCCTGGCTGGAGGAGCAGCGGGCCTGCATGCTTAATGTGGAACAGAGGCCATCTCCTCGCATGTTTACTTCTCACTTCCATTATAACATGATGCCACCATCTTTCTTTGACGTAAAGCCAAAGGTAAATGTGCCCTATCCATATGTGCTCTTACCCTTTGACATCTCTGCATCTGACCAGACCATGTGTGAGATGGGTTGTTATGGCGGTCACTATGTTTTCATAAAAAGAAGTGTCCATACCATGTTGCTTTCTTTCAGCAACTCCACAGCACATCTCTAGCCTGCTACAGCGGATCCCATAATCCTTTGCTCCCATGCCACTAACAGGGATTTACTGTAAAGATGCTAGCATACAGGCATTAACAGTTACAGACACTTTACTGTATGGCTGCACAGTTACTGTATCTGAATATACTACAGGAGTTGGGCTTCTATGCCACTGTGTTGTGTTTCTTC